AACTAGAACAACACGAAGTGGCCTACAGTTGGCTCCGGGCATTCAAAATCATGCCCAGGAATGGAGTTCTGGGAACTTGAAGAGCACGAAGTGGCCTACAGCTGGCTTCGGGCATCCAAAATGTAGCCCGGGAATGAAGTTCTGGGAAATCGAAGAGCACGAACTACAGTTGGCTCCGGGCATCCAAAATGTGGCCCAGGAATGGAGTTCTGGGAAGTCGAAGAGCACGAAGTGGCCTACAGTTGGTTCCGGGCATCCAAAATGTGGCCCAGGAATGGAGTTCTGGGAGCACCAAGAGCGCTTTTGCAAGGATGTCCCAATCGATTTCGGCTTCGGCGGCAGCCTCCCCAGGTCCCGCCCAGACCCCCCTGAGGAGTCATGATGCTCTCTTTTGAAACCACTAGAAACCTATCAGCAAGAGCTGTTAGGCAACTTGGTGATCCGTGCAACCCGCAGCTGCTTTTGGCTAGAGCCCGAATGGCAATGAGCGGAGGGTGTGGGTCACACCGCATTTGCACGATCATTTGGAATGGGAAGGGCCTCTCGCCCGCTAGATAACATCACGCCCCGAAGAGCGAAGCATTCTGCAAAACGATGCCAATCCAGGCCATACGTAATCAAGAAGCTCAGGACACGACCGCCCGAATGCAAAAAGAGGCCGGTAAGATGATCAAATTGAGCAGTCCAACCGAGCCCCCACCACCACCACCACCACGTGAAATCCAAGGGGTGCCTCATATGCAAACCTTGTGTTGTTGCCTATGGAGCCCCAGCGTTTATTTAGTTGCAGGAAATGCGTTGTTGGCCCTTGGGCCCCATGTGGCCTCAATGGTACTAGATGCGCAAGTGTATGTCAGGACTGAATGGCACATCGATCGGAGTTCCATGTGTACACGCACGCAAATAGGCGGCCGTTATGTGTTTGATACTCTTACCACAAGGTCATGTATCTGCAGGGTTTCCTTGCTTGCATGGCCCCTAGTGCCAAGACGCCTAAGGCCCCAAGCTCTCACATGATGCCGACGGCTACTAGACGGTAAGACGCGCAAGACCCTCAGACACCCTTCAAGTGCAGTTCTCTAAGGCCTCGAAGACGCCTCCTCAGACCCCTACGCGCACTAAGACACCCTAAGAAACCCTAAGACGCCCTAACACGACCTGATACCCCTAGACACACCCAAGAGCCCTAAGGCCCCTAGACACCTCAGACGCCTCAGGCCCCTAGACACCCTAATACCCCAAGACATCCTAAGACGCACAAGGTCCCGAGACACCGCACACGCAGAGAAAGCCGTTAGGCCCCAGGGATGATGGCTTCGAGGGCACCCGCTGAGACCCCATGGAGACCTCTGTAGACCCAAAGGATGGCCTCGAGGGTGAGCCTCGTTCTTTTCCACCGATCAGAAGCGGCGGAACGATCTGAGATTGAACGCAACGTGCCTCGAACGAGATCGAGGCCAAGGGCATCCTCACGCCGGAAGCGGGCTTCGGGCGTCCTCACGCCTGAAGCCCGCATGATAATTCACACCATATCAAACTGAAAATGTGACTGGCTGAAGGCGGCAGCAGGGTCAGAGAGCACAGCACCTTCACCTTCCTCCCCGTGGCATCCTCCTGTTCTGGAACGAAGACAGTCCTTCTGTTCCGGAATGAAGACATCGCCCCTCCTCCATCTTACTCCCCCTCCCCCCTCTGCAGGCTTACATGTTGGAGCCACCTAGCACTGCCTGTCATGATACACTTGCGTCTCCACAACAGTATCCGACGATGCGAACTTTTCCACCAGAATGGGCGCATGCACGAGGCGATGGCCATGCATCGCAAATGGGCCCATGCCCTCATCAAGAGGAGCCTGGCACGCTGAGGCAAGGTCAGACCCTTGCAAAGCGGCAGACCCTGAAGAGGCGGCACCAGGCGCACCGCTGCAAAACTCAAGGTTGAGAGGCCAATTGCGCCTCTTCGCAGAAGGAACCTCCGAAGCGCCCCCCGGCGCAATCGACTCGGCGCCGTCGGCTGACGCCAGCCGCTTGGCACTGACGCATTCCTTCGCAATTGCCACACGAGAAGGAAAGGGAGACTTCGACTCATTGGCCTTGGGAGAGTTCCCAGGGCTGCCGATGTCAATCAGCTGGCCAAGCTTCAAAGTAGACTGGAGTTTGGGGAGCCGGGCACTCGGAGACTGAGGCCCCCCTGGCTGCGAAACAGAGCTGGCCTTCGCTGAGCATGCCGCTCCGCCAAGCCCCTCTTCGCCTGGCCCCTCGACCTCGCTGGGAGAGCCCTGCGTGGCAGCAACAACACTGCCACTCACTTCACTCATCTCGGGGGGGGGACTGACGCCTAGTTCCCACTGGCTCATCACGACGGCCTCTTCATCACCACCCTCGGGGACTCCTGCAGCACCGACACTGCCGCTGGCTGGCGCTGGCGCGGGCACTGCCGCTGGCACTGGCGTTGGATCGGCGGACCAGACGTTCGGCATTGCCGAATTCAAGTCGCGAGCGCGCTGCTGCTCAAGCTCCTCTGGTGGAACCTCTTGCGCCCCTCTCAGGTGCACTGTACATGGCAAATTGCCAGTGCAGGTGCGAAACCATGTTTGTGGCATGCTTGGCAACCGAAACGTTAGGTAGAGGTGGCCACTCGTTTCGAAAGACTCAATTGTGCGGCCCTCCATGCCGAGGAGGTAGCAAAACCAGAATATGCAATTGCTTGGCAAACGCGGCTGCGATTACGAAAAACCATGATTAACAACGATGGTGATGGATGGTTGCATGAACCGTGTTCCAATTCCTTCGCGTGTTCCTACGCATGCAGTGCACCATAAACGAAACACAACCTCCGAACATGCAAATACACCCCACATTCCCGATGCCTCCAGGCATCCCCAAGCGCCTAAAGCCCCCAGGCACCCTCAGACGCTGAACCCCCAAGACACCCAAGACGCCGCAATGCCCCCAGACACCAAGAAATCCCCCAAAGTTGCGAAGCCCAAGACGCCAGAGGACCCGAGGCGCTCCATCGTTGACTTAGCGCGCGAATCAAATCGTCGAGCCCCACGGAGGAAGCATAAGGCATATGGAATCACTTGGCGGAAACACGCTCGTACGTTAAATGTTGCCAGGTAAGTAGCTCCAGAAAGCCACGGCTGCAGGGCAAAGGTGGCGGTCCCGTGCTCCGGTTGGAAACCAGTCTGGTTGGGTTGGAATAAGTGCAGCCCGCATCAATGTTTGGAACTAAGAGTACAGCCAAGATATCAGGGCAAAACATTAAGCTGAAGCAGAAGCAATGGTTGGGGTGGGGGCGGGGGCTCGGGCTACAGTTAAAGCTAAGGCTAGGGCCAGGGGTAGGGCAATGGCTATGGGGAGCCAGGGGCCACGGCTAAGGCTAAGGTTGTGGCCAAGGCTAGGGCTGAGGCTAGCGTTAGAGCCATCGGCTACGGCTACTGCTAGGGCCAGGGCTGAGGTGAAGGCGTTGGCCAGGCCCAAGGCTAAAGCAAGGGCTAGGGCCCAGGCAAGGGCTAGGGCTACGCTAAGGCTACGGCCAGGGCTAAGGCTCGGGCCACGGCTACGGCTAGGGTTCGGGCTAAGTTTGAAGCTAAGGCGATTGCACCTACATGATGAACACCCACTTGAAATACAACAGTGCTCGCTGCCCGTCGAGCTGCTCGCCTTTGTTCCAACTTATTCTCGGACGCGCGCATAGCAGAACCCTTCTGGGCAAACTACCTAGACTCGCGAACGATCCAACCGAAAGCCTCTGGCGTAAGTCTGGAAACATCCCACCAGCGCGCCACCTCCCCTGCAACACCAACCACTCATATGCAAACGAACCACCCTTTTTGCAACGCATCCAGGCGCGAAGACCTCCAAATTCCTTCGTCGACAAAACCCATGCGAGCCTTCGCGGGACCATTCCGCTTGCCGAGTCGAATGCACTTGGGCCCGCCAGCATCGTCGATGCGACAACGCTGTCCTATGCCCCCCGCTGTGCGCAGCAAAGCACGCCCGCGCGCCGCGGCCCCAGGATATGGCCACGCGCAAACTGCGACGCAACAAACACAGCTGCCCCACCACATACAATCGCGCGCTAGCCCCCCACAAATCCCTGGCAATGTGCCCGCGCCGCAGCCCTGCCGCGGGCAACCGCATGCCTAGCCGCGCCCCGTATTTAACGCAACCTGCTGCGCCGCTCGCCATTCAGCCCTACGTCCCTGCGAAACTGGCGGAACCAGGATCGGCAACGCGCACCGACGGAGGTTCAATCGCCCGCAGCGTCGGCGAGGCCTCTGGAAAATGGACGGGGCTAGCCAGGTGTAGACCCCCTTGTGCGCGCCCCTAATGCTGCGCCGCGTAGCGATAGCTGCTGCCGCGGGCGGCATAGGCCGGGAACACGCAGCGCGACCTGCCCGCGCGCGCCGAGGTAGGGCAAGGGGGGGGGGGGCAAGGCTGGACGACGACGACTACTGAAGGCACAGAATCGCACCCATGCCGCTACTCCTATGATCTCACGTCGACTACCCATGGGGTGAATTCTGAACAAGACCTCGAAGCGAATCCAGCCGTGGCGACGAAAGACGGGCAGCGGCGTCGATATCCTGGGCGCGCTCTTACCTGGATTATGAGGAAAGTCCAGCAGTGGCGACCAAGCCGCCCCGGGCGGGGGGCCGAGCTGGAGGAGGAGGAAGAGGAGGAGGAGGAGAAGGAGGAGGAGGAGGAGGAGCAGAAGGGAGGAGGGAGGAGGAGGGAGGAGGGAGGAGGGAGGAGGGAGGAATGAGGAAGAGGGAGGAGGAAGATGAGGAAGAGCAGGAGGAGGAGGAGGAGGAGGAGGAGTAGGAGGAGGAGGAGGAGAAGGAGGAGGAGAAGGAGGAAGGAGGAGGAGGAGGAGGAGGAGGAGAAGGAGGAGGAGGAGGAGGAAGAGGGAGAGGAGGAAGAGGAGGAGGAGGAGGAGGAGGAGCAGCAGGAGGAGGAGTTCGCGGCGGGACGGGCTGTGGCATCGGTCCATCTCTTTTTTCCATGAATGCCGGCGACGCCTCTCCGCCGCCGCCGCCGTTCCTTGACAGGGCGCCCACTGCGCCGCGTGGATTGCAGCCGCGCGTCGGCATATCCAGAAGGATGCGATCTATACAGCAGGTCTGCTATACAGGCTATCCACCATCGTGTTTTTAGGCACGAAGCGGGCGTATCTTCAGGTCCTTCGCCTAATCCCTGGAGCCTGGGTCCACAATCCTGAAGAATCTTTCAGGGGCCAGGATCGCAACTCTCGAATCTCTCGGGGCTTCCCGCATGCCCACTGGGCTCCAAAAAAAGCGCTCGCATGACTTGCTCGGGCCCGACGAGGGCCCGATGACGGGCCAACAGGGCCCCACGAGGCCCCCAAAACTGTCAAGAAGGGCCCCGAGTCGCCCGCCAAAACGGCCCAAGATGGCCTCAAGATGGCCCAACAAGCATCGGAGACGCCCCAAGAGGATTCCAAGAGGCCTCCCAAGAATGCCCCGAAAGGCAAACATCACTGGTTATTGAAGGATTTCGGCGTTCTCGTTGCTTCGGCTTTCCGACGCTCCAAGGCTGGCCTCCGAAGAGATCCCCCACGAGCTTTCAACTAGCATCCAACAGGCTTCATACCCACAGCCCAGGCCCGGTGGCGGGGTGGGCCGAAGGCCGCTACATCCGCCGCCCCGCGCTGGCTAGCCACGAAGGCACCTACCGAGCGTGCCAGATTTCCGTTGGTTGTTGGTTTTGTTCGAATCCCCCTGGGGCTTCGGCCGATGAGGCCAGCCACCCGGAAGGCTCGCCCAGAGGCGGTTGCAAACGTTTTCACGCTCCAGATGGCTCCAAGATGGCCTCCAAGACGGCCACGATGGCCATCAGGCTCGCCCAAGATGGTCAAGCCTTGAGTCAAGGCAGCGTCGGATAGAGCGTTCGCTATACAGCCTCTCCTTAAACCTCGTCCGAATTCGGAAATGGAGGGGCCGAGCGCTAGATCATTGTCCTCGCTGAAGGTATCAAGTGACGAGTAACCAAAAAGGAAAGAAACACGGTTTTCGTTCAACATCCCCAGCAGCGCAAAGGCAGGTACGGTAATGACAGCACGGAGTTTTAAGGCTGGTCATGGCCAGAACATGACGAGCCACAAATGATTGGGGATGGTCACGGGCAAGTCCACGTGGCCATCCGCGGAGAATTAAAGGGGGCGACTGGCCAAATGCCAGCCGTGAAAGCGCGCAGTAGTCGAGAGGATATGACCAAGCGGCCAGATCCAAGCGACCAAAACCCCTCTTAAAATAAGAAGGTTCATGCCCGTGTCCGGGCACCCATGGTAGCTGCGACGCTTTGAGTTTTTATGCCTGTGTTTAGCGATGATGAATATATCGCAAATGTAGATGCCCGTGTCCGGGTAACGGTAACTGCGAGATAGCGCGTTTCACGGGCCGTTGCCCCCTCCCCAACACTCGGAGCCGCCGATCAAAACCAGAGGGACTCCCCTCCCCCAACCCCCCCCACCGACCCCCCCCCTCCGAAAGAGGGGGAGGTTCCACACCCCCCCCTCGGCGCCGGCGCTGGCGGGAACGCGGCGACGATGACCAGAGGCAGCCCAAGGGGGGGGGGGGGAAATGGGTTTCAAACTCCCCCCCCCTGGCGCCGGCGCCGGCGCTGGCGGCGGCCAGCAGCGACGGCCCTGGCGCCGGCAACGGCGGGGGCGCAGCGACGATTACCGCCGCTACCACCACCGCCACCACTAGCACCACCACCACCGCCTCAACCCACCACCACCAACACTAACCCACCGCACAACCACCACCAGCACAGCCACCACCACCACAACCACCACCACCACAACTCACCATCACAACCTCCGTCACAAAAATCCACCATCACTACCACCACCACAATCTACCACACAACCACCACCACCGCCACAACAACCACCACTACCAGCAGCACAGTCCACCACCACCACCACAAACCACCACACCACCACCACAGCCGCCGCCACCACCATCACCACCACCACCTCCACAAACCACCGCCACCACCATAACCCACCACCACCACCACCACAAACCACCACCACACCACCACCAAACCACCACCACCACCACCAAACCACCACCACCACCACCACAAACCACCACGACACCACCACCCACCACCACAACCACCACCAACACAATTAACCTCCACACCACCACCATTCCTCCTCCTCCTCCTCCTCCTCAACCTCCTCCTCCTGATCATTCCCGCCATCCTCCCTCAAGTGTTCCCCAAAAGGGTTCCCACAACGGCTGGGGGAACACATGGTCCGATAGCTTGGCAGAGCCCTGGCCACAACGTTCGGCCACATGGGTGATTCCAACAGGCAAGGGGGCGGCGGTGATCCGCCGTAGGCGTCTTCGATACACCTAGACCGGCCCTACACCACCCCTGGCCGGGTCCATCCTGGGCCCAAGATCTGGTGTATACGCCCTCCCGGCTTGGCCAATTCCCGCGGTCCCCGCAGGCTCGGCCCGAGTGCTCGGGCAGCCCCAGAGGCGCGCTGCCACGGCGAAAGCCCGCGGCGGGACGGAACGGAACGGAACACTTTCGATCCTGAGCATTGGTACCAGCTTGGCAGCTCGACTACCCTGCTTCAGAAAACATGGAAGAATCTTCGAATAGCTCAGGGCGCCTGCGACGGCGAAGGAGGAGGAGGAGGAGAAGGAGGACGAAGAGAGGGAGCCCAAGGGGGGGGAGGCGGAGGAGGCGAAGGCAGGAGAAAGAGGGGGTAGTGGAATAGGAAGAGCAGGTGGAGGAGGAAGAGGAGGCGAGGGTGGATGCTCCGACCGCAGGGGTTTGGTCTGGCCTATGCGAAGCGGAACACGATGACGGTGAGAGAGCTGAGGAGAAGGAGGACGCTCAATGGGCCACGGCGGTGCAAGAGGCGGTCCCGCGCAGCGCCATGCTGCCCGCACGTCGCCTCGCAGCCGTGGCTGTCGCGGCGCTCGTCCAGGCAAAGTGTGGAGAGGCGGAGGAGGAGGCGGAGCATGAGGAGGAGGACGAGGGGGAGGAGGAGGAGGCGAAGGGGGAGGAAGAGTGCGAAATTCCCGAACTTGAACCTGGACCCGGCGTGTTCCGAGACCTTCGGCCGACCACGAAACCCTGGTGTCGCTTGTCCGCTGCATCGGCGATGGTTCGGGTGATGCGCAACGGAATGAGTGCATCTCAAGGGCTTGGCGCTGGCTCCAGACCGCGCTCGCCAGGGGCAACGTGGCCATCCTGGCGAGCGCGGGTGACCCCATGCCACCATGAAGGCGCACCGTTGCACATGTAATCTTTTCATGTTCTTCGACTGAAAGTTGAACTGGAAGGCGCTGGCTTGCGCCGTCCGCCTGGGCTCCCCGTCCTCCCTTTCCCCCCCTCGGTCGGGGGCCTCCGCTGCTGGCTGTCTTCCCCTTCCTCCTGGTTTCCTCCTCGCCCTTCCTCCTCCTCCCTCGCATCTCTGTTTCTCCGCCCCACCTCTGGGCTGTGGATCCCGCGGCGAGATGAGAGAGGTGTACACATGAATCTGCCATTTGCGCTGCTCCGTTCTCCGTCGGCCCCGGGGCCCTCCTGCTCCTTCCTACCTACTTTGCCCTCCCAGCTGCTCTCGCCAGCTGCGCCGGCTCGGGCACGCGGTGGTGGAAGTGGCCCGTGGGTCGTGTCGTGTCTCGTTGGCGCCACCCGCCTCTGCCCGAGTCGGTTCTGTCTCCAGGTAGGACTGCCTCGCTCCCTGCTGCCGCTTGCTGGCCAGCCTCTGTCCTCTCCCTCCTTTTCTGGTGTAGGAGGAGTAGAAGGAAAAGGAGGTAGCAGGAGGTGGTGACGAGGACGAGGAGGGGCCGGAGAGTGAGGAGGAGCAGGATGAGCCGAACGAGGAGAAGCCGCAAAGGGGGAGGCGGAGAAGCAAAAGAAAGAGGGGGGGTGGACTAGGATGAGCAGCAAGAGAGAGGAGGAGGAGGAGGAGGAGGAGGAGGAGGAGGAGGAGGAGGAGGAGGCTGAGGAGGAGGAGGAGGAAGAAAAAGAAGAGAAGGAAAAGGAAACCGGGGTGAACGCTCCGACCGCAGGGTTCAGGTCTGGCCTGCGCGAAGCGGAGGACTGGGACGGTGAGAAGGCTCGAAGAGGAGGAGAGAAGGAGGAGGAGAGAGGAGGAGGACGCTCAAGAGGCCACGGCGGTGCAAGAGGCGGTCCCGGGGAGCGCCAGGCTGCCCGCACGTCGCCTCGCGGCCGCGGCCGTCGCGATCGAGGAGGAACTGGAAAAGGAGCTAGCGACCGATGCGCTGGCCCAGGCATGCGTGGACAGGCGGAGGAGGGATAGGGAGGAGGAGGAACACGAATGCAAGGAGGAGCATCCTCATCCTCATCCTCATCCTCATCCTCATCCTCCTCCTCCTTTCCCCCTCTCCTCCTTCTCCTCCCCCTCCTCCTCCTCCCCGTCTCCTCCATCCCTTTCCTTGTGGATGACTCCTCCCTGTCCCACCCACTGACGTGTCCGTAGGGCGCGCGGGGCGTTTCACCCGAGACTTCCTCACCACTCACGACCGTGAGGCGTGAAAATCACAATAGCTTCACGGAATGAGAAGGGAGGTGAGGACGAGGATGAAAATGGGCAGGAGCACGAATGTAAACCTGGGCCGCTTTTGAACGTTTCCAGGGAGCCAAGGGGGGTTCCTCATCCATCCTCCCTCTTCCCTCCTCCCTCCCCCCCCCTCCAACCGCCGTCCCCGCTCGAGAGGTTTAGGTGGGCGGCCGCTGGTTTCGCCGACGGCTGGTTTCTCCCAGCTGGTTTCGCCCGGCTGGTTTCGCCGACCGGCTAAATCAGCCCCGATAGTGCAATCGATAATGAGATCGATTGTGATATCGATAGTCATATCGATTGTGGGATCGATCGAATGAAATAGATCGAGCGAGATCGATTGCGAGATCGATCGAGTGAGCTGGATCGAACGAGACCGATAGTGAGGTCGTAGTGAGATCAATAGTGAGACCGATCGAATTCGAATAAGACGTTCGTTCCTCCTCCCCGAACCTCCTTATCACCCGAAAAGTGGTCGTATAGGTGTGTATAAATATTATATATATGTATATATGTAATCATATATGTGTCTACATAGACATATATATATATACACTGGCACGCGCCGAGAGCGAAAATATTTACGCATGGATTTCTGCTAAGAGCAAACATGTACATTGTTGTTCCCAATATATTGAAGTATTGGAAGCTCAAGGGACCTGAACCCCCTGCTCGGGGACATTGAATCCCCAGCTCCGGCACATTAAATCAAGTCCAATCCCGGAACCTGAACTCCCCAGCTCGGGGACCTTCTCCAGGACCTTAAACCCCCAGCTCGGGGACCTTACATCCCCAGCTCCGGGTCTCAGCGGAGGGCGAGATCGCCTCGGAACGTCAGGGGGGGAAAATGCAAGACCCATCCGCTGAAAAGTTTAAGGGCCAGGAGGCCTAAGATTAAAGGCCGGGAAGCCTAAACTGCAGGAACGGATGGCCCAACAATTGAGGCCGGATGGCCTAAAGTTAAAGGCGGGGCAGGCCGCGATAAGGGCTCGGAAGGCCCTAGGATAGGGACCAAGCAGGGACCCCACATTCGGTGACCGTGGGGCCCTATAAGATGTACTCAAGGACTTCCTGGAGTGTTCAGGCGTCAGGCTCTCCTCTGAAACCCTAGGATCGAAAGTAAACGCGATATGTTTTAATATATCTATATATATACATACATACATACTTAAGAGAAAAACAGCTTTTTTATGTGTATATATATTATATAATACCAACACCAAAAAAAACAACAAAAACAACAAAACAAAAAACAAAAAAAAAAAAAAAAAAAAAAAAAAAAAAAAACGCGGGAGCAGAAGCATGAGGCAGCATGTAAGGGAAAAGAGAGAGAGATAGATAAAACAAGAAAACAAAACAAACCAAAAAAAACTAATGACGGGGGGAGGAAGGGAGAAAACATGTCAGCTGGCACCCTGGCTCAAGCACTTGTTGCGGTCGTCTTCGCTGCTATTCTGTTCTTCGGTGCAAGATGATACCGATCAGAGGAGGAATGGCGCAAATTGGCAATGGAGGAACTGCTCGGATTGAGCTTCAGTTCGCCGCTGCTCAGACCCATGCAAGCCTGCTGGCTTGAATCAGTACAAGGGATCAGGTTCGCGGCCCTCTTGTTGGCGCCATGGGCCCTGGAACCGCGTTAGCCCCAGGCGGCGCGCAGGGCCCCCGCGGCCGAGGAAATAGGCGCGGCTGCCCGGTCTGAGGTGAACCACCAGAACAGGGTGTTCACGCCCGTCACGATGCTGCTGTAAATCGACATGGCGCGGGAAGCGGCGACCATGCTGCGCAGCCATCGCCGCGGCAGAGCGCCAGATGTCCAGGAGACGAAGGTGTACTTGAAGCTCGTGGCGGTGGACAATAGCGTCGAATCGACGCAAAAGGCACATCAAGAACACGTCGCGCCGAGTCGGCAACGCCGGCCGCCACAATACCACCGAGCTCAAGAAGGCCGTGCAAACATTGTGTGGCGCAGCCTTGCTGAGGCGGGCTGGTCTGGCGAGCGTGTTCGATGCGCTGCGTCGGTACAGGGTGGCGTTGAGAAGTGGCAAAGTGCAGATGGCGCCGAAGGAATGTTTCCGCGCGGGGCTGTGCAAAAGGGCCCAGGCTTAGAATCTCTAGTCTGCCATTCAGCCATGGTTACAGATGGCGGCCCCTTGTAAAGCGCGCGTGCTGGCTGAAGGAGCTGGATTGGCATTTTGCCCGTCGGTGCAGTTACCTCCTCGGCATCGGATTGCGCGCGAATGGGGCGTGTGCGACAGCAATAGCGCGCCTTCTTTTTCCCTCGCCAACCCTCGCTATTTTCTTTGTACGCGTAGACACTTCGAGCATCGGGGGCGGAGAAGAGGAGAACAGGGGGGACGAGGAGGGGGATGATGAGGAGAAGAAGAGAAAGCAAGAGGCCACGGGGAGGATGAGGAAAATACGAGGGACGACGAGCAGGACGAAGACCCCTCAGTCTGGGCAAACGGAGGGGTCTGGTCGCATCAATGATTGCTGCCTTCTCGCCGCTTCGCTTCCGATGAGTGTCTGAGGCGTCAAGGTGTCGCCCAAGATGCCCCCAAGACGGCCCCAAGACCGCCCAAGAGCGTCCAAAGAGGGGGCCAAGAGCGTCCCAAGATACGATTCCAATGGCCCAGAAAGGAGAACTAAACTTTAGTACCCCCCTCTGTTCACCGACACGCTCCACGATAGCCCCAAGAGGCCATCCAGAGCCTCCAAGAGGCCCCCAAGAGAGCCCCAAGAGACCTCCAAGAGGGCCCCACGAGCGCCCCGAGACCCACCAAAAGAGCTCCAAGAGAACTCTAAGACCCCTCAAAAGAGCCCCAAGAGGGCACCGAGCCCCAAGATGGCGCAACAGAGCTCCAAGAGGGGTCCAAAAGGCTTGCCAAGGCCACCCCCTTGCTCCCAGAGATCTCTCTGTTCACCCTGGTTGCTCGCTTTGTTTAACTAGATGTGTGTTTTCGTCCCTTTTCCCGTCAGCTCTCAAGGTCCGGGTCTCTGAAAGGACTGGTGGGGACAATTTTTCCGTCGCAGCCGCGAGCGAAGGCGTAGGCGGCGTCAAGGGTCGACCCGGGCTACGGGCGGAACCTCATTACCCAGCGAGCGCACTCACGGCTGCCGAAGCTGCCGATGAAGAATTCTTGTAGGGACCTGTGCAGAGGAAACTTCGAGGGAGAGCCCATTGTAACATCGTTGATGCGCCTTGGGTAAGTATACTCTGGTCCTCCTCCTCCCTCCGCCTTCCCCTCCTAGCACCCTCCTCCTCCTCCTCCTCCTCCTCCTCCTCCTCCTCCTCCTCCTCCTCCTCCTCCCCCTCGCCTCCTCCATCCTTTTCCTGATAGATGACTCCTCCCTGTCGCACCCCCCTAACGTGTCGGCAGTGCGGGCCAGGCGGTTCGTTTGAGATGTCCTGGCCACCTACGATCCTCAAGCTAAACATTTGCAGCAGCGTGAATGATGGAGGGCAGGTGGCTTTAAACATGTAGTTCTCGCCTTAGCGCCGCGCACAGCAAGCAGGACTGGGGCTTGAGCGCGCCGCGCCTCTGGATCCGAATCCGCGAAACCTCTGAAATAGCTAGGGGTGCGCGCCCCCGAAGCCGCGAACTCTTCCACATTTCAGTGGACGCGCGCTCCCGAGGCAACATCCTCTATCAAATACTACAGACCCGGCGCAACCAGCCAGCCAACAAACAGCCCAAATCGACTGCCAACCGTCGACCTTGATACCAAGCAGATCCACCGAGTTGCAAACCAAACCACCGGGCCAACCGACACAGAAACCAGCCAACCGACCAAGCGTCGCCATGCAGGCAATCTGAGGGGGACCAGGCGGCAGAGAGCGCAGCCCCCCAGAGATGCATAATCTTTTAGAGGCTCGGGCGGATTTCCTGCGCCAGCGGTGCGGGAGGCGCCGCCAGGGGAACCCAGCGCAGATCGAAGAAATCCGCGCGGACCTCAGAAAGCTTACTCGGTCAGACGTCTTTTGCTCTTCGGGAGGAGGGGGGAGGTGAAACCATGGGCCACTGCTTCCTTGCCGGAGCGGCATGACCAAGCGCGCCGACCGCCCCGCCACGCCCTACCTGCCCGTTGGGCAGCGAGTGTGGGGCGGGCGCACATGGCGTAGGCCTGCGCTTGGCCACTGCGCCGCAGCGGGCCGCCTCCAGCTCGGCACGCGGTGCGGCCCCGCGCGCCAGCACTGGGCGCGGCGCTTCGGGACACACCGCCTGGCAAACGGGGCCTCCATGGCAGTGGCGGTGCTCGCCGTGGCGATCAGTCAGCTGCTGTGGGGGACAGGTGCAAGGAAGTCAGGAAGGTCCGAGATGGCCAGGGAGGCGAACGACGACGACGAAAGTAAGGGGCTTCGCGCCAAAGTGCCAGGTCCGAAAGGCCCGACGACCACGGCCTCGCCTGGCCTCCTTGCACATGATCCCCGATGAGTTTGGGCTCAGTAGCTCGCGATGTGAAAGAGAAATGCAGGCACTACGAGCAGGTACAGCGGCCTGGGCCCAAGGGAGAATCTGCGGGCATCACGAGACTGCGCGCGTGATGCATGTCAGCTCTAGGTGATACTTTGACGCGTGCTGGGCTTGCAGGGTAATCTTCCCCCTCTGCGCTGGGCCCTCGTCCACCCGATGGCCCTACCCAGTGCAAACTCTGGGCAATGGCCCCGATCCTTCTCCTCCTGCTCCCACTCGATTATCCTTGTTCTCCTCCTCCTCCTCCTCCTCCTCCTCCTCCTCCTCCTCCTTATCCTCCTCCTCCTCCTCCTCCTCCTCCTCCTCCCTCTTGGTTCTCCACCTCCTCCTTCTCCTCCTCAGGCTCTAGAACTCCCCATCCTCTTCTTCCTCCTCCCGCCCTAGATTTCCCCCTATCCTCGTCCTCCTCATCCTCCTCGATCCCCCTTGTTCTTCTTCTTATTCTTCTTCATGTTCCTCCTCCTTCTCCACCCAGATCATCAATGATTCTCAAACTTCTCCTCCTCAATCTGCCTCCCCCTCCTTCTCTTCTACCTGCCGTCTCCTCGCTCCCCCTCCGCGACTCTCCTTTTCCTTCTCCTCCTGCTCCTCCTCCTCCTCCTCCTCCTCCAATTCCTCCTCCTCCGCCTCCTCATTTCCTCCTGCTCGTCCTGTATCACTCTTGATACCCCTCCTCGGTCCAGCCCGGCCCTCCCCCTCCGGCTCCTCATCGGTACTTGTCCTTGACCTCTGCGGCGGTTCTCCTCATCCTTGTTCTTCATTCACCATCCTTCTCCTCCTCCTCCTCCTCCTCCTCCTCCTCCTCCTCCTCCTCGGTCCTCGATCATCCTCGAACCCTATCATCGGTCCTCCTCCCTCTCCCCCTCCTCCTCCTCCTCCTCCTCCTCCTCCTCCTCCTCATCATCCTGCTCCTCCTCCCCTTCCTCCTCCTTATCCTCCTCCTCTGCCGTCCACACCGACGACAAGGCGCCAGGGCGAGGGTCACGGACGGCGGCGGCGGGGGCGTGAAGTCGCTGTGGTCGTGTGGCCGCTTGGGCCCCCCCCCGACCCACCCCAAAAAGAGCTGAATTACAGTGGGGGCCCGACCACAAGAAACCTCCCACAAGAAACTCAACCCTGAGACCCCATGACGTCCATTGATGTGTGGTGTGGGGACGTCACGCCTTCCATCGCAAAACCACCGAAACCCAAGAACCTGGAGGCGAGCAGGGTGTTTCTTGGCATGGGTCTCCTCTGTACGGAGCACCTCGCAATTGCGGATGAGAATAAGGGGGCGGGTCGCGGGGTGGGTCGTGGGGTGGGTCGCGGGTGGGTCGCGGGCGGGTCGCGGGCAAGGACGACGACAACAAAAACAAACAAACACATGAACAAACACACAAGCAACAACAACAATATGTTTACCCTCATGCGCCATGCTTCTATATTGCACACGGAGCCATCATGATGCCACCCTCTCTTGGGGGAGCTACATGAAAAGTGAGGCGATATTCCCACACCCAGATCGCCCGCCCAAGGAATTCGAGCAAACGCCTCTCCCGAGGCATGTTCCAGATCGCACGACACCTGAAAAATCAGTGTGACGCTGGGAGCGGTGAAGATTCGAAGCACGAGATATTCGAGGCACAGGAGACGGGCAACAACTAAAACACTAAGGATTCGAGCCCCAGAGGAGGGGCAAAATGTAGGAACGTGCGCAAAGCACGGCGAAATTGAGCCCGAGACGAGGGGCAAGATATAGGCCCAGGAGAGCCCCACGAGAGGGGCAACCTCTACGAACACACGTGAGCACACAAACAGAGAAGTCGAGCCCCAGGAGAGGAACGGCGAAGCCTGCAGGGGCAAAGACTCTGGGGAGAGAAGTCTACGGGGGGGCCCAGAAGCACTCCCCGAACAGAGGTCCCAATACAGAGAAATACTTCATGTAGAAGAGGAGAAACGGCATAAATATAAACTTCTGGCGCTCCGCGCGGATTTCTTGGATCCGCGCTGAACCCCCCTCCCTGGCGTGCGGAGTGCGCCAGGGGCGGCGCCTGAGGCGCCGCCTGGGGGGGCCCAGCGCGGATCCAAGAAATCCACGCGGAGCGCCAGAAGTTTATGGTGTTGTTTCTTCTTCGATCATGGGGGCTCTTGGGGCTTCCTGGGGGTGGGGGGTCCGAAAAGCGCTCCCCGAGCACGGATCCCAATGCAAAAAGGTGCCTCTTGGGGCCGTCTGAGAGCGGAGAGGCCAGGAGGCCCCAGCGCGGGGGGAGGCCTCCTTACATGGGCCTCGACGGGGGCTCCAACCCTGAGCGTCAGCGTCGGCGTCGCCGTCGCATCGAGGCGGCGCGAACCAGCCGTAATCCATTCTGCTGGGACGCAGTACAAAAGGTCCTCGCTGCGACTCCCCGTGCAGACATCCGAACCCTACCCCTTACCAACCGTCGATTCCCTTGGACGGATTGAAGGCAGGGGTACGGTTCGGATTTTGCCACGCCAGGTGCTCGACGAGTTCTAACCCCTACCCCCGCCGCCCATCGAGTTACCCACCGAGCGGCGAGGGCAGGGTTCAGATTTCGCCGCCGATTACCAGCAAACATTCCAGCACGCCGCCGAGATACCTGCGCGTGCAGGCGAGGCACGGCCGCTACACGTCGGACGCGGCGCCGCCAGGGCTGCCTGCTCGCGAGTCGGGATTGTCGTGGAGCCGCTTCATGATCTGGAGGAAGGGGGCGGGGGGGGGCGAGGCGAGGCACCGACATGCGTCCAGAAGGGCGGCCCCACGAGAGCGCGGCGCTTGGCCCGGAGCCCAGCCTCGCAGTGCCTGCAAGCATTCGCTGTCGCCCTGCCCCGTATCCCGAGAAACGAAACGCCCAAAACGAAACGTCCGAAACGAAACGGCAAAAACGAATTGTCCGAAACGCAATGCGAATCGGTTGAAACGGAAAACGAAACCGACCGAAACTGGAAACAGCAGAAACGGGAAACGCCCGAAATAAAAACGGGCAAAACGGAAAACGTCGGAAACGAAACGATTCCTTGATGTTCATGAGCGTGAGAGCTCGCCGAGGAGGAGGGAGGGCGACAACGATGACGAAGACGACGACGACGGCGACGAAAAACAAAGAACGCAAGACTTTAGCAAAAAACCTACTCTCCGAAGAGGGCGACCAAACGACGCAGGCAGGGGGGGGGTGATGGCGTTCAAGGTCAAGCACCCTGTGGGTCCGCGGAGGGCCTCAGGGCCCACAGGAGAAAACCCACGGCGCGAAATACGGACAAAGGATGAAATCGCTGAGGGCGATGCGACCCCTGCGGGGGCACTCCCTCCTAAACCACCTCCTTAAAAACACCCTCGTAAACCAAACCACCTTTCTTGAATCACCTGCTTGAAATCTCCTTCTTGAACTACTGTTCCCTGGAAGGGCGACGAGGGAGGAGAGGGAAGCGAGAGCCCGAGGCGGCAATGCCATCAAAGCACGAATGCCACCGAATCTAAATATCTCGCCGCAACTCATCATCATTGCAATCATCGTCATCGTTCGTCATCGTTATCAACAGACCGTTTTGAGTACTCTCGCGTCAACATCGGCCACCCTGCCGCGAGGCATGAGCTGGAGTGCCATCAAGTCCCTTGTAGCATTCAGTCGTCAAGATTGGGTATTAAGGACCTGGACCCGAAATTCTCAAATAAATACTGGGCTCCTGGCGTAGCTCCAACGTTTCCGGCGCTTGCAGCATAACTTGTTCGAGGCCACGAGCACCCCAAAACGGGTCAAGAGGGCCCCGAGAGGCGTCTGACCTACAACCCAGGCGCGGTGGCAGAAACAAAAAGAGCGCTGCAGCAACAAAAACCAAAATTACTCACACCACCGTTCGTACCGGGAACCTTGGCGTTAAGAACTTGTTACGTCACTCCTCGCTCGTGGGAGCCTTGGTGTTCAGAGATGGTTGCGTTGCCACGCGCTCCTGAACCTAGAGGGTCAGGAACTTGCTACGTCACCGCTCTCTGCTGGGAGCCTTGGCCTTATCGGCTTGTTTACGTCACCGTTCGCTCTTGGGAGCCTTGGTGTGAAGAGCTTTTTGCGTTACCGATCGCTCTTTATTTGGCGTCACTGGGCCTTCGTGGGAGTCCTATTGGGGCCCTTGTAGAGCCCTTGTGGAGGCCTCTTGGGGGCCTCTTGGGGGCCTCTTGGGGCTTCTTGGGGGTCTGTGGGGGCCTCCTGGGAGCGTCTTGGGGCGATAGGCTAGACTTTCGGGTTCGTGGTCCCCCTCTTGGGGCCGTCTTTGGGCCCTCTTGGGCCGTCTTGGGCGCCTCTTGGGCCGTCTGGGGGCCCTCTTGGGCCGTCTGGGGGGCCTCTTGGGAGCCTCTTGGGCCGTCTTGGGGCGGTCTTGGGGGCCTCTTGGACCGTCGTCAACGCCGTGAAAGCCGCAAAGCCGTGCATGCTAAAAATGTAAGTTTTCCAAAAGGAAACCGATGATGTTGGCCTCCTGGTGGCCTCTTGGGACTCCTCTTGGGGGCCTCTTGGGGCTCCTTGGGGGGCTGTGGGGGCCTCCTGGGAGCGTCTTGGAGCGACAGGCTAGACTTTTCGGTTCGTGGTCCCCCTCTTGGGGCTGTCTTGTGGCCCTCTTGGGCCGTCTTGGGCGCCTCTTGGGCCGTCTGGGGGCCCTCTTGGGCCGTTTGGGGGGCCTCTTGAGAGCCTCTTGGGCCGTCTTGGGACGGTCTTGGGGGCCTCTTGGGCCGTCGCCAACGCCGTGAAAGGCGAAAAGCCGCATATGCTAAACATTATCCCAGTGCGACCCTACCTAGGAGTTGGAGGATCTAGGAAAGCAACATCTAACATATATATGAAGCTAAGCTAAGCTAAGATGAAGCTAAGCTAAGATGAAATAAGATAAGCTAAGATGAGATAAGCAACGCTAAGCTAAGGGAACGTCACTGGGGGAACCGCGGAGCGGGTGCCGGGGGAACCGCCAGGGGCGTTTTCCACTGCCGGGGGAACCGCCCGGGGCGAAGAAGGTTGTGCATAAACATTATCATGTATGTACGTGTGTGATATTACGTACGTATGTGTGTATGCATGTATGTATATATGCATGTATATTTGTATAGATGTATAGGTAAGCTAAGCTAACCCTCTAAGCAGAGCCTAGGTAGGGAATTACACCCATGCTATGATATGCGATGCTGCGCCATGCTATGCTACGCTATGCTATGCTATGCTGTGCTATGCTATGCTAAAGCTCAGATAAAGGCAAGCTAAGCTAGCATAAAACTGAGGTAAGATGAAGCTAAGCTAAGGTCAGATGAAATAAGCTAAGCTAAGATGAGATAAGCAACGCGAAGCTAAGGGAACTTCACGGGGAACCGCCCGGGGCGCGTTCCACAGCCCGGCCCTGTAAGCAAACAGAGTAAGAACCCTTCTAGGCAGAGCCTAGGTAGGGAATAAATGTCTTCCTCAGGAAAATCGATGATGTTGGCCTCTTCGGGCCCTCTTGGGAAGCCCCTTGGGCGCCTCTTGGGGGCCTTTTGGGCCGTCTTGGGCGGTCTTGGGCTCTCTTGGAGCGCTCTTGGGCCGTCTTGAGGGAGAATCCGAAAAACATGCAAAAAACCCAAGGGAAAAACCCCAGAACGGCCATTAAACGCATCCACTCGGCCCTGAACCCCCCCGGACCCCCCCCCTTTTCTGGGGCTTCGCCCAACACACAACGTCATCGCTCGTACCTCGCACTTTCCGTTACCTGGCCCGGCACAGAAACGGAAAGAGCGCTGCAGCAACAGAAACCGAAATTACTCACACCACCGTTCGTATTGGGAGCCTTGGCGTTGAGAGCTGGTTACGTCACCCCTCGCTCTTGGGAGCCTTGGTGTTCAATGATTGTTGCGTCGCCGCCCATTCCTGAGCCTTGGCTGCGCCTTGGTGTCAGGAACTTGTTACGTCACGGCTCTCTGCTGGGAGCCTTGATCTTAGAGCGCCCCTAGAGGGCTCCCAAAGATGAACTTGAGGGCCCCGAAGGGGGGCAAATCGGGGACGCCCCCCTTCGGATCGATGGCCTCGAAAATGGCCCCAGGAGGCCCTCCAGGGCTTCCAAGGGGGCCCCAAGAGAGCCCCAAGAGGACTTTCGACTGAGATTCGACTGACCTGATCAACCCTCCAGTGAGCCCGGCTCCAGGGCCGACGAAGTCGAGGACGCCCATCCCCTGGCCTATCCTGGACGATGATGGCGGCCTCAAATCAAAACTCTCTACTCGAGATTGGGTGCCCCCCTGCACGCAAATGGTACAAACGACCAGAGAACTTCCGAGGACCCCCTCAGGACACCTGGACAAAAAACATACCCACCTATCGTTGGCATACCTAGCGCATGGACTGCAGAATACTACTGTTGGAAGCCTAACGACGTGGTGTCCCATGGCACTGGCTATATCGACTCGACCTCCGTCCCCGTCAAGGGCATCCTTGCCAGGCAGGTCGCCATGTGTGTGGGGGCTGTAAAGGTCCCCCAGACTCCTCCACTCCTTGACTAGGCGCTCCAAGAGGTACCCAAGAGGGCCCCAAAGACCCCCAAAAGAGCCCCAGGAGGACCACAGCACCCCCCAAAAGAAATCCAAGAAAGCCCCAAGAAAGCCTGGAGAGAGCCACGAAGGGAACCCAAGAGGGCGCCAAGAAGATCGCCAGATGGCTGCCAGAGTCCTCGTCCTCGTCCTCCTCGTCCTCGTCCTCCTCGTCCTCGTCCTCCTCGTCCTCCTCCTCGTCCTCCTATTCAGATTCGTTCTCGTCCTCGTCACCCTCCTCATCATTGCCCTCGTCGTCCACCTCGTCCTTGGTCTTCTCGTCCTCTTCTTCCGTCCCCTGATCCTCCTCCGCCTCCTCCTCACCCTCTCGTCGTCGTCCACAGATTCCTCCTCCTCCCCGTCCTCCTCCTCCTCCTCCTCCCCCTCACTATGTGCAAGTCACCATGGCTACCCGCGGAGATGTACTATGTCTCGTCCACCAATCCCCCGTCAACTCTCATGGGCAGCGTTTCTGGTTGGGCTGGTGGGGATACGCAAGGTGTGAAGAATTTGTGGCTGTAGAGCAATGCCAACTTCTCTCTCTCTCTCTCTCTCTCTGTGCGCAGGCCCTGACAGCATCACGAGCAGTGTGCTTGCCGTTCAATTCAACTCAGACCATGCGAGCAACACGCGCCCAAATGTCGAACTCGTTCAACAAGCACCGCGCACCCGCCAACTGTGTGAAACCATACGATGAGAGCCGCGCGTGCGCTTCCCCGCGTGTGCGCACCGAGAGCAGACGAGCACGGGTTGCTTAGCGCGTTCAAAAATGTGCGTGGTCAAACGCATACGAAACAACACAGGCGACCCACACACATGTGTCAGGAATCCTGCGCGAGCACATCAGCCCCTAACAGCACCATCAGCAGCATCCGCATCAGCATCATCATCATCAGCAGCATCGTCATCATCATACGCATCATCATCATCATCATCATCATCATCATCATCATCATCATCATCATCATCATCATCATCATCATCATCATCATCATCATCGGCAGCAGCAACACCAACATCAGTATCACCATCATCATCCATCATAATCGTGAGCAACATTACCATCAGCATCATCATCACCATCGTCAGCATCCGTACTATCATCAAAACCATCATCGTCGTCATCAGCATCATCAGCATCAGCATCAGCAGCAGCATCGGCATCAGCGTCATCATCATCATCATCAGCAGCAGCAGCAGCATCAGCATCATCATTAGCATTACCAGCATCATCATCATCGTCACATTCATCACCAGCAGCATCGTCATCATGATCATCGCCAGAGTCATCATTGGCATCGCCATCGTCGTCGTCGTCGATGCTGTCGTAACCATCATCGCTCACCTGTCCGATTCATTAATCTGCAAGATAAGGGTCCTCGCGTGAATGCGCCGGTGGAGGATTGCCAAACATTGGGAGTGATTGGCATGTTTGCTCGAGCATTCGAGCTGGCGGCGCCAAGTTGTTCGGCACATCGTAGCGCTGCAGAGGACATCGCAGCGCTGCAGAGGCTGCGCCAAACAGAGTGCGCATCGAGAGTGCAATAGTCTACTGTGCAGGGTCCACGCTGGAACGCGTGGCTTCCACTCGGGCCATGAAGCCCACACCACATGCCGTGGCGAGGCGTTTGGCAGATTACCCTCCCTGCGGCCCCCGACCCCCGACAGTCCCTCCGAATCCCCACCATCACGTTGCGGCGGCCACGCGCGGCAGCACAACTGGACAAGCTTGCACGGCGAACTGGATATGCAACGACCCACCGATTCATAATCGGATGCGTGACCACTGCAGCAGCACGAATACGAAACTGCACCACTCACCCATTCGACGCGAGAAGGGCGTGCCTCGGCGAGCATCTGCCCGCGCGCCCTGAAGTCGTCCTCGGCCTCCCACCTCCCGCCACGGTGCTGCTCGGAAACAAGCTCGACGGTCTCGGCCGCGGGACTGCCGCCTCCACTCGTCAAGAGGGGGAGATGCTATGTACCACAACTGGCTGCGCCTCCTCCCGACGGCACCCCGTAGTTAACCAGCACACACCACCTCGCCTCGAACACGTGGTGGAGCGCCCCAGGCTTCACACAATCGTGGGCGTGAGAAGTGTCGTAAACGTCGTCTATGCCCAGACAGTCGACTCGGAATCCTTGGGCGCCCTGGGCGCCCCCGGGGTGTGCCGATTGGGACTCCCAGAAGACACACTTGTGGAGCAAATTTACTGATGCTCGCACTTTTCTCCTCAAATTGTGCGGCGAGCTTGGCGCCCAGGACTTTCCCACCCAAAACGCTCCCAAAATCCCACAAGGAGGTATCCAAGAGGCTTGAAGAGGCGCCCAGGGGAGACCCCAAAAGGCGCCGGCTGTGGTCCACCCGCGGCCCAGTCACGGTGGCAGGATGGGCCCAAGGGCACTGGGTAGAAGTCATGTGCAACAAGGCACGACGTCATTGCTCCCGCGTGAGTGGAGGCACGGGCAGAGTGGTTGAGAAAAAAAAAACATCAGCACCCAAATGTTCTCGAGCAGACCAGCCTGGCGACGGAGGAAACAGGATGATGAATAAGGCAGCCAATCAAACAAAGACATTAACGCCAATAGCGAAATCTCACTTTCCTTACTTTCCTTGGCGGGGGGGGCTATCAGGACCCGATCGGCGATGAATGGGCGATTGGGGGTCGATGCATCCCATCCCAATCCTACCCCCCCCCTGCTGTCCCTGACCTGCCCTGGCGCGAGAAGCGTGCCCAGGGTCGGCGCCTGACCGCCACTGCAAAAGCAGTGTCCACGACTGTCCACGACCTCGTTGCGTTTCTCCCTCTCTCCCCATATGCAATCATGCGCAGTGGACTGCGAAACCGAAGCCATGCAGAGACGTAGATCCTCATGCAGCGAAGGCGAAAGACTCCCTGCGAAGTCAACAGGGCAAGGGAGTCAACGCTCTTTCTCTCCCTCTCTCTCTCTCTTTCTGCCGCCCTCACCCTGTCTCTTTTTTTGTTTGTTTCTCTCTCTCTCTCTCGCTCTCTCTCCTCCATCTCTCTCTCTCTCTCTCTCTCTCTCTCTCTCTCTCTATATATATACATCGCTCCACCTTGATTGCTTGATTGGCCCGTGTTCCTCCTCATCTTCCTCATCCTCCTCCTCATCATACACTTCCTCCTCCCTTTTCCCTCCTCCCAATCTATTGTCTCCGAACCCCTCCTTCATTCCCATCGTCCTCCACTTCGTCCTCCACGTCTCTCTCCAACTGTTTCTCTCTCCCTCTCTCTTTCTCTCTCTCTCTCTCTCTTTCTCTCTCTCTCTCTCTCTCTCTCTATATATACATATTTATACATGCAGAGTCATGGGTGTAGTGATGCATGCGCATTACTTCTCTCTCTCTCTCTGCCGTTGTATCTCCCCCCTCTCTCCCTCTCTGTCTCTCTCTCTCTCCCTCTCTCTATCTCTCTCTCTCTCTCTTTCTCTCTCTTTCTCACTCTGTTTCTCTCTGCCTCCAACGTGAAATTGTGCACTTGGACATTGCAAGCTATGTGGCGGGAGCGACGCGGTGCAAGCTATGAGGTGAAAACAATATGGCGTACTCTATGTGAGGCATGCTACGTGGTGGGACGACATGTGGAAGCTGCGGTGGAAATAACAAAAGCCACTGATGAATTGTCAACTCCACCGCTCGCGCAATCAACTCACCCTCCCACCCGCAACTCAAATTGTTTTGCAAAACCCACGCAGCCGCAATTGCGATGACTGGCACTGGCTGGCGCATCTCTGCGGCCACGCTGGCGCGCGCAACCTCGCGTGCAGAACGACTGGCTGGTTTGGCGTTTGGCACAACTGGTGCGGCCGCGATGGCGCTTACCGATGGGAACTTATCAGCGCGACTCAAAGGCCCCGCTGGCGCGCGGGCACTAGAGTGCGGATGGGTGACCCTGGCGGTCGCGGTATCATGATGACGTCGAGAAAGGCGGCGACGATGATGATGGTAGCGATGGTGGCGATGACGACGATGATGACGGCAATGCCAATGACAGCGCCGATGCTGGCGACGATGATGCCGATGATGATGTCCATGTGCCAGTGCCGGGGATGATTGAGTAATAATGGCGGCAATGGCGGCCATTGACGATAACGATTCTGACGGTCATGCGATGCCGCGGATGAGGGTGGTGATGGTGAGGAAATGCCCGCGTGCAGAAATCCAAGAACAATAAGCACATGTTGAAACAACAACATGGTTCTTCCATATATTTGCAGAGCTCTGCCTTGAAGAGCTACATCTTGATTTCGGCACGCGCGAAGGGTGGGGGGCGCGTGGCCCGCACGGAACGATTTGCTACGGACTCGTGGCCTGACCGACCGCATGTACCGCGCGGTGAGGTGAGGCTCCCGGCTCTGGACGAGATTGCAAACCGGTGCGCGCGGGCAAAAATCCTGCAGCCAAAATTGATGAACAATGTTTGTTGTGTTTGTATGTTGAAGCGCTTGCAGAACGAATGTGTCCATTCTGGTTTCGACACGTGCGCGTGCGTGAGTGAAGTGTGGTTTCTCCTGCGAGGGATCCTTGCATAACAATTGTCTGAACTGAACCACTTCGCGCGCATTGCTTTTTACACGGGTGAGGGGGGTCGATGCTCGGATAGTATGAATTCATATGCATCATGACAGATGGGGCAAAACCATATGCAAACTGCAATGCCCCAGGGGGGCCGTGAAGTCCGTGGGCGACAGGGTGGTGGAGTCTAGTTTCTTCTGAGATGAGAGTCGATTTGGAGGAACCTACGCGGTGCGTACGAGGTACAATCTATATGGGCAGATTTGTGCGGTGTAAGCTAAGAGCTGCCCAGCCAGCGCGCGAAGCGCCCGCGAGGATCACCCAACAGACTCAAACGTAAGAAACATGGGGGCCCATCCGCCCATCCGGAAGGAAAGACCTGCTGGGGCGCGCCGAAAAACCCAGGAGACCAGGCTCCCGTGGAAGGAAACAAAATGGCGAGGGGTTCGAGCACGGGGGTTACCCCCGTCTCAAGTTTGGGGAGTGGAATACACACTCAACCGCGAGGGTGTTCGCGCGTGTGGCCCCACCCCGTCGGCGCAACCAGAGGAAAAACGCGCGAGCACAGATTGCAAATGCAACGCAGTAACACTCTCGAAGTAGTTGTGCTAAAGCTGCGCTGGCACTTGCGCTGGAACAGCTTGTTCAGGGGTTCCAGCGGCAAGGCGCGCGCGAAAGGAGGACACACATCCACGCGCCGCCAAGGGCCCAAGGTTTAATGGGGCGCCGCGAAGAAGGCCCCCCCGCGGAAGAATAAGAATCTGGCCTGGGGGGTGGGGAGGCCAGGCATGAGTCTGAGAGGTGATCCACGAGTTAGAGGCTCGGAAATGGACACCAACACCAACACAGGGAGTTGCCTCCACCGGGAGAAGGTGATCCTAGAGTTCGGTGTCGGTGGTTATCTTTCGGCCGCCTAGGAAGCCAGAACATTACCACCATCGCCGAGATCGGGATACTCTTGCCTCACTCAAGGCACACCGCCAATGTTGGTGTTGGTGTCAACTTCTAGAAAGGGGAGGGGCCCTGGGACACACACACACACATATAGAGAGAGAGAAAGAAATGCACACAAATCACGGGATGACCCATATTTTCCTACACCTTCTGGGTTCGTGACTTCCCCCCCACTTCCCATATTTTCCCCTGTTTTGGGGGAGTCGACGATTCATTGTGTCTGTGTGTCTTTCCCCTCCTGATTCTAAGCCTCCGAGCGAGGCTCACGAATCCCCCTGCGGGCGGCGACCGTGCGACAATGTCGGGGCACCGCTGGCCAGCGCACGGGGGCCGCCCGCGAAGCCTCCCGCGGGCGACGACCGGGCGAGAAAATCCGGAATCGCCAGCCGGCACAAGGGGCGCCGACGATCTATAGGGACACTCTAACAATCCTATCATTGACTGAAAAACGTGCTTAACATTGTAAAACATGTTCTAAAACGTTTCAAACATGTTTTTACATATTTGAGAGAGCGTGATCCACCGCCGCTTTACTATGGAAAATTCCCCCCCCTCCTTCCTCCGGAACCCGGGGGTCCCCCCCCCCTTCCGAAAATCCCCCCCGCCTGCTGGACCCGCCCCCCTTCCCCCGGCAAACCCCCCCCCCTCCCTCCCCTCTCCCCCCCCCTCCAGAAAACCGGGGAGAGTCACTGCCGGTTCGAGCCCCCCCTCTCCCTCTGGAAAACCGGGGGGGTCAGTCATTGCCGGTTCGAACTTCGAACCCCTCCCCCCCCCCCTCAGAAAACCAGAGGGGGGTCACTACCGGTTCGAACCCCTCCCCCCACCCTCCAGAAAACCGGGGGGGGTCACTACCAGTTCGAACTCCCCCCCCCACGCTCACAGCCAGCAAACGACTCCCGGGTCCCTACCACCGTCCGCACCACATCGCCCACTGCTGTCCCCAGCACCTCTGTCCTCACCACCTCTGTCCCCACTGTTCCCATCACCGTCCCCACTGTCCCCACCAATTCCCCCACCACTGTCGCACTGTCCCCACTGTCCCCACCACTGTTCCCACCATGGTCCCACTCTCCCCACTTTCCCCACGGCCCCGACCACTGTTCCACTGTCCCCACTGTCCTACTGTCCCCCTCGCTGTCCCACTGAGCTGTCCCACTGTTCCCACCACTGTCCCCACTGTCCCCACCACTGTCCCCACTGTACCTCTGTCCTGTTGTCCCCACACCTCGCAACCGCCCTCACCACTGTCCCCACCACCATTGTACCCTCCACGGTCCCACTGTTTCCACCACATTCCTACTGTCCCCACACCGCTGTCCCCACCACCACCGTCCCCACAACTGTCCACTGTCCCAACTGTTCCCACCAGTGTCCCCGGTGTCCCCACCAGTGCCCCCACCAGTGTCTCACTGTCCCCACTGTCCCCACCATTGTCCCACCACGGTCCCACTCTCCCAACTTTCCCCACGGTCCCCCCCACTGTCCCACTGTACCCACCACTGTCCCACAGTCCCCGCCGCTGTCCCACTATGCTGTCCCACCGTCCCCACTGTCCCCATCGCTGTCCCACTGTCCCCAGTCCCCACCACTTTCCCCACTGTGCTACTGTCCCACCACTGTCCTCAACACCGCCTTCACCACTGTCCCCACCACTACCGTCCCTACCACTATCCCACTGTCCCCACCACTGTCCCGCTGTCCCTTCACCACTGTCCCCACCACCACCGTCCTCACCACTGTCCGCACCACTGTCCCACTGTCCCCGCACCACTGTCCTCACCACCACCGTTCCCACCACTGTCCCAGCATCCCCACCATTGTCCAACTGTCCCGAGGAGCGGGAATCGTTTGCCGGCGGCGAGGGGGGGGGAGGGGTTCGAACCGGTAGTGACCCCCCCCCGGTTTTCGAGGGGGAGGGGGGTGGGGGGTTCGAACCGGTAGTGACCCCCGCACCCCCTTTTCATGATGGACTGGAGGGGTTCGAACCGGTAGTGACCCCCCCCTGGTTTTCGAGGGGAGGGGGACGGGTGGTTGGGAACACCCAGTGACCCCCCCCGGGTTTTCCGCCAGCAGCGGTAGAACACGCTCTTTCACATAGTTTGACATATTTCTGTAGACATCTGGAAATGATTTGGCAGCATGCTTCCTCTCCATTAATCGACCTCCACAACGCTACCCCTACCCCCCACAATTTCTGAGGGAAGGGTGGGGTTCACTTCGCTCGGGAGCTCCCCGAGCGAGGTGGACCCCCCCCCCCCTTCAGAATTCGTGGGCGGTAGGGGTAGGGTTCGTATGGGGTCCCCGGCGATAGAAGAAGAGAAAGCGGCAGAAACAACAACTTTTGGCGCTCCGCGCGGATTTCTCGGATCTGCGCTGGACCCCCCCTCCCTGGCGCGCTGAGCGCGCCAGGAGCGGCGCCAGAGGCGCCGCCGGGGGGCACCAACGCGCATCCAAGAAATCCGCGCGGAGCGCCAAAAGTTGTTGTTCTGCCGCTTTCTCTTCGTCGAGACGAGGCGATCGCGGGCGGCCGTCGGGCAAAATACCCGGCGCCGCCGGCCAGCGAGCGAGGCGCTCACACGAAGCCCCCGCAGGCGGCCACCAGGCGAAACCCCAGAGCCGCCTCCTCCTCCTCCACCTCCATCCTCCTTCCTCCTCCTCCTCCTACATCCTCCCTCCTCCTCCTCCTCCTCCTGGCCCTCCTCCTCCTCCTCCCCTCCTCCTCCTCCTCCTCCTCCTCCTCCTCCTCCTCCTCCTTCTCTCCTCCTCCTGATCCTCCTCCTCTTCCTGATCCTCCTTCCGATCCTCCTCCTCCTCCTCTCTCCTCCTCCTCCTCGCCTCCTCCTCCCCTCCTCCTCCTCCTCCTCCTCCTCCTCCTCCTCCTCCTCCTCCTCCTCCTCCTCCTCCTCCTCCACAAACGGCACACACTCTTCGAGGAAATTGACGACACATTCGCCTCGGGAAACCAGCGTCGGCCTCCACCCACTTCCTCTGCAAAAGGCTTTCTTGACGGTCCGTTGGAAGCTTCTTCCACACCCCACTTGGGGTCTTCACGAAGCTCTATTGCGCTGTCGTGGGGGGGGGCTTTTGAAAGGCTTTTGGGAGCCTCTTGGCCGCCTTGCGGGCCTTCTTTGGGGCGTCGTCAAGGTTACTGGGACAGTCGGGGGGGGGGGTTGAGCGGTCTTGGCGCCATGGGCCGTCTCGGGGTCCTCCTGAGCCGTCCTGGGAGTCTCTTGGACGGTCTTGGGGCGCTCTCGTGTGGCCATGTTGGGGTGTACCGAAGCCCTGCCCTACTGGACCGACTTGGTGCTCTCTTTGGGCGTGGGCGGCCCCTTGTGCCTTCACGGCGCGATCTGGGAGGATCACGGGGCCATGTTGGAGTGTCGGAAACCCGAGAAGACGAGAAGGCGAACAAAACCTTCAACAACAAGTAAAAACAACTGCTGGTTTGTTGTTCTTGGGGCCCTCTCGGACGTCCCCTGGTGGCCTCGCGAGCGACTTGGCGGCTCTCTGGGGCGATCTTTGGGCTTCGTGAGCGGTCTTGGCACCGTTCTGAGCCAGCTCGGAGCCTTTTAGGGCAGTTTGGGAGCCTGGGGCGGTATCGACGCGACCTTGGAAGCCCTCTGGGGTCCCTGGCCGGGGTGCCCCGAAACCCTATTGGGCTGTATGGGGGCTCTCTCGGGATGTCTTGGGGCGCACTGGGGGGGGGCCATGTGTTGGGCTGTCCTGAAGCCCTACCCTACTGAGCCGTCGTAGTGCTCTCCAGGGGTGTCGTGGGCGGCCCATTGTGCCTTCACGGCGCGATCTGGGAGGACCGACCACGGGGTCATGCTTGGATGTCGAGAACCCGAGAGGACGAGAAAGCCAACAACCGTCAAAACCAATAGAAAACAACGTTTGCTGATGGCCTCTGGAACGTCCTTTTGATGGCGTTGTGGGGCGTCTTGGGGGCTTGCTGAGGGTTTTGGTGCTGTTGTGGGCCGTCTCGAGATTCAATTGGGCCGACTCGGGAGTCTCTGGGGAAGTCTTCGGGCGCTGTTGGACAACCTCCGGGGGCCCTGCTGAGGCATCCTCAAGCCCTATTGAGCCGTCTCGGGACTCGCTAGGGCCTTGTTCGGGCGCTTTGGTAGGCCTCTTGCGCCTTCACGGCATGATCTGGCATGACCATGGGGCCGTATCGGAAACCCGACAAGGCGAGAAGGCCAATGAACCCGGCGCGGTCCAAATGATGGGAAAGCGTCGTATTGCATGGGCGCATTGCTTGGCGTTGCTTGGCGTTGTTTGGCGGTGTTTGGCGTTGCCTTGTATTGCTTAGCAGTGCTTGGCATTGCTCGGTATTGCGTGGCGTTGTTTGGCTCTGCTTGGAATTGCTTGGCGTTGCTCGGCTTTGATTGGCGTTGTTTAGAAGCATAGATACCCATGGAGCGCAGGACAGACCAAACAGCACGGAGAAAGCAATAAGGACACAAGACCAAGCAACCCGAGGAATCCAATAAGGAAGCAAGGCCAAGCAACCCGAATACTGGAGTAGGGAAACAAGACCAATCCACTCCGGGCATCGCAGCAGTAAGGAAACAAGACCAAGCAAACCCTGGAAAGATCATAATAAGGAAACAAGTCCAAGCAACCCCGCGAACGCCACAGGAAGGAACAAAACCAAACAACCCCTGGGAACGCCAGCTGGCGCAAGCCTGGTACCCACCAGTTCTTCGAAAAGATCTATGACCCCCTAGTCAAGCCTGATTGGGGAACGACGTTCAAAAACTGTAGGGAAGCACATGTTGTATGCTTCTTGGGGCCCTGTCGGACGTCCTCTTGACCGTCCTTGGGGGGAGTCTCTGGTCTTGGGTGCTCTGGGGCTGTCTCGAGGAAATATTGGAGTGTCTTGGAACGCTCTTGGGCCGTCGGCGAGTCGGGCTCTTTCACTGGCAACCTCAGCCGTCTTCGGCGCTTTGTGGGGGGGCATCTTGAGACGAACGTGGGCCGTCGAGAGGCCATTTGATTCGGCTTCGGGACCCCGATGAGAGGCTTGACCCATGGCCTAGGGGCCCCTGCGCCGGGCGTATCTGCCACCGTGCCCTCGTGGCAAAATCCGAGCCCTACCCCCGCCACCGAGTTGCCTGAACTGTTCGGCAGTGGCAGGGTTCGGATTTCGCTGCCGATGTATGTTTACGTCGTGCGTTCCCCTGGCCTCTTCACATCTCCTCGCTTCTCGCTCCTCGCCCCCGCCTGTCGCAGCGCGCCAGCAGGCGCCGTGGGCAGGCGCCGTCGACGGTCCGAAGTCTGCGGCAGGCCTGCGATTCGTGGCCTGCACACGGGTCCGCGTCATGGCACCGAGGGGGAGTCCGCAGGGGGGAGGTGGAGCCGGAGGAGGGCGAATGGAGGCAGGTAGGGAGGGGAAAGCAGATGGAAAGGATTGGGGAAGGGGGGAGGGAGCGGGGAAGGAGGCGGGAGGGACGGGGAAGGGGGAGAGGAGAAGGCGAGGGAGAAGTGAGGGAGGAGGAAAGAGAAGAGGGAGGGAGGGAGGGGTGAGGGAAGGAGCTCCTCCTCCTCCTCCTCCTCCTCCTCCTCCTCCTCCTCCTACTCCCCTCCGCCTCCTCCTCCGCCTCCTCCTCCTCCTTCCTCCTCATCATCCTCATCCTCCTTCTCCTCCTCCTCCTCAAGCTATTCCTCCTCCTCCTCCACCTCCTCCTCCTCCGCCTCCTCCTCATCCTTCTCCTCCTCGGCCTCCGCCTCCGCCTCCGCCTCCTCCTCCTCCGCCTCCGCTTTCGCCTCCGCCTCTGCCTCCGCCTCCTCCTCCTCCGCGTCTCCTCCTCCTCCTCCTCCTCCTCCTCCGCGCCTTCCTCCTCCTCCGCGCCTTCCTCCTCCTCCTCCGCCTCCTCCTCCTCCTCCTCCTCCTCCTCACTCCTCCTCCTCCTCCTCCTCCTCCTCCTCCTCCTCCTCCTCCTCCTCCTCCTCCTCCTCCTCCTCCTCCTCCTCCTCCTCCTCCTCCTCCTCCTCCTCCTCCTCCTCCTCAAGGTATTCCTCCTCCTCCTCCTCCTCCCCTCCTCCCCAAGATCTTCCCCTCCTCCTCCTCCTCCTCCTCCTCCTCCTCTCCTCCTCCTCCTCCTTCTCCTGCTCCTCCTCCTCCTCCTCCTCCTCCTCCTCCTCCTCCTCCTCCTCCTCCTCCTCCTCCTCCTCCTCCTACCTCCTCCTCCTCCTCCGCCTCCTCCTCCTCCGCCTCCTCCTCCTCCTCCTCCTCCTCCTCCTCCTCCTCCTCCTCCGCCTCCTCCTCCTCCTCCTCCTCCTCCTCCTCCTCCTCCTCCTCCTCCTCCTCCTCCTCCTCCTCCTCCTCCTCCCCTCCTCCTCCTCACCTCCTCCTCCCCTCTCCTCCTCCTCCCTCCTCCTCCCCTCCTCCGCCTCCTCCTCCTCCTCCTCCTCCTCCTCCTCCTCCTCCTCCTCCTCCCCTCCTCCTCCTCCTCCTCCTCCTCTCCTCCTCCTCCTCCTCCTCCTCCTCCTCCTCCCTCCTCCTCCTCCTTCCCCCTCCTCCTCCTCCTCCTCCTCCTCCTCCTCCTCCCTCCTCCTCCTCCTCCTCCTCCTCCTCCTCCTCCTCCTCCTCCCCTCCTCCTCCTCCTCCTCATCCTCATCTTCTTCGTCTTATCACTACTATGGTTATTCGTATTCGTCTGATTAGCCGTCGTCGTATGATCATTCGTCTTCTTCTAATTATGAGTATAAGTAGTATTGGTATTATGTCTGACTCGTAGTGGTAGTCGTCTTATTATTGTTATTAGTAGTACTACCATGATTGGTATTATCAATACTAGTAGTATTAGTATTACTCGTACTGCTAACCTCCTTAGTACTGTTAGTAATAATGTTAGTATTATTCTTAGTCCTCCTCCCCCTCCCCCTCCTCCTCCTCCTCTCCTCCTCCTCCTCCTCCTCCTCCTCCTCCTCCTCTTCCTCCTCTCCTCCTCCTCCTCCTCCCCCCTCCTCCTCCTCCTCCTCCTCCTCCTCCTCCGCCTCCGCCTCCTCCTCCTCCTCCTCCTCGGCCTCCTCGGCCTGCTCTCGCCTCCTCTCTCTCCTCCTCCTCCTCTCCTCCTCCTCCTCCTCCTCCTCCTCCTCCTCCTCCTCCTCCTCCTCCTCCTCCTCCTCCGGACACTGGCACGGCTTTCTGGCACGATTCAGGATCGTCAAAACGCAACATTAAGGTTGATCCGTGGCGTTGGAATCCCGAAAAAATGTTAGGACATGCTTCAGGGTCTTCAAACGGTTGTCTTCCAACGAGGCAGTTCCCTCAGTGGACATGAACCCTTAGAGGGGCCTATGAAGAGGGAACTTGGAGGGAGGGTTTATTCCAACATCGTTGATGACTCTTGGGTGTTCACTGGTCCTTCTCCTTCTCCTCCTCCGCCTCCTGCTGCTCCCCCGCCGCCGCCTCCTCCTCCTGCTCTGACACCACCTGTCATTATGATCCTTCTTGTCCTCCTCCTCGTCTTCCTCCCCCCATCCTCCTACGGCGGCGGTGATTTCTAGAACATGAGATGGCGCGTCACTGGTTCTCAGAAGGAAGAGGAGCAGGCGGAGCAGGAGGAGGAGGAGGAGGAGGAGGAGGAGGAGGGGGAGGAGGAGGAGGAGGAGGCGGAGTTCCTCCCCTCACTCCTCCCTCCCTCCCCCCCTCTCCTGCCCCCTCCAGCTGTCAGTGCCTGTGCATCAGGCGGGGGAGGAGGAGGAAAGGGCGCGCGAGGGGGAATGCGAATTTCGGGGACCGCGCTAATCTAGCGGAGAGGGCGGAAAGGGGGAGGAGGGGGAGGAGGACGAGGAACGTGGAGAGGGAGGAAAGCGAGGGACGACGACAATGAAGGCAACGATTACGACGACTACGGCGACAATGACCAGGATGACCATACGGCGACGACCACTGGAGGAAGCCCTTGCAATTTGGAAACCAGGCATCCAGCGGATCGAGGAGCTGCTTCAGCTGGTCGTCGACTCGCTCGACGGTGCTGCGTAGCAGGCCCAGCTGCACCTGCTGCTCCTAAGGAGGATGGCCGGCCACCTGCGAGCCATACCCCTACTGCTAATCGACTTGAACCACTCGGACTTCACCATTGGGTGGTCAGAAATCGCGTTATGTCACGTAAAAAGTGAAACCTCCCCATTGGTCTATGGGGCGCAAGGGTAAGGTTCACATGGGAATCTGGACAAGAGGGCGCGACGGAGGAGGGGAAGCGGCAGCAACAACACCAGCAATGGAGCAGGAGAGCCAGCATCAGCAGCAGCAGCAGCAGCAGCAGCAGCAGCTCGCGGAGGCTCCTGCACCTTCGCGAACGAGGCCTGACACTGCGACCACAGCCGGTCGACCTTCTGCTCGGCCTGCCGCCGGTGAAAAACAGTCCAATATTCACCATGAGACTCCTACTGTCAGAAGCGACGCCTCTTGTGGAGGCTCAGCTGCGCCCAGGTCCACGGGGGAACGCCCTGGAGAGACCCGTGGAAAGACCTCAGGACTGTCGAGCCACGTTCGAAGGCAAGGTGGACCTTATCCGAACACAGTGTCTGTGGGGCTAGGAAATGAACGATATGATGAACGCTTTAAGATGACTAGATACAGCGATCAGACGACGACGGCAGACACGCTGATGTAGTGACGACGCCTGCTAACAAGCCACGCTAGTGCAGTGGCTGTATGACAAACCTCTACTGCTAGCCATACAGGCTTACTACCTGTATTGCATCGGAATAAAGCAATGGGCTCACACTTACGAGCGCACTGGGACACGAATATACATCAAACGCTGAGGCGATCGAGATGAAAGGCGCGAAGCAGACGTCACTGGTTCGATCAGGTCTGAACGAACATACAAAATGCCCTTCCGTCGTCCAGTAACTGGTGCCCTACCGGTCCGAACAGACACATGTACTAGTGAACTGCCTTTTAAACATCAAGCGTCGTCGAACCGAGTCCGTCGCCAAACAGGTACCACTCGAAAAAACAGAGCGTGAACTAACTCTAAATATCCCCCCCCCCTCCTGCCCGGAACTCTTGCGTTCGCAGGGCACGCGATCCAGCTAACGTTTTAAATATGAAGGGGCTGAAGTACGCGTCTGCAGTGTGCACTCCTTGGGTATCTCCCCCTCCAAATTGTCAAGATTGCCTCCAGTATGCTTCCAGGAAGCCCAAAGATAGCTCTCGCGTGACCCTGGAGTCTCCCATGCATGCGTGCGTCCGATGACAGAACAAGACATAACATAACATATCAATATCATGTCGAAGTATAGCATGACATAACCTTACATGACATACAAGAGCAGAACATGACAGAACATAAGACGCCATAACACGTTATAGCATAACGTAACCGAGCATAATATAACACACCTTAACATAACATGTCATATCATGGCACGGCAACACATAACAGTTTGTGACACGGCAGCATAGCATAGCGACGCAGAACACGACGGAACACAACAGGTATGACAAAACATGCCAGAACAGAACATAGCAACGCCATGACAAAATAGGCATAACATGACATCACCGAACATACCAGAGCAGAACACACCTTGATAGAACGTTCCATATCATGGGCACCGCATCACAGAACACATCATAGCACGACAGCTGAGCACAGCGACGACGAACACGACAAAACACAACATGACACAACAGACCATGACAGAAACAACACGAGCATGAAATAACATAACAGCACATAGCACAGCAATGCCATGACAAAAAAAAAACATCATATAACATCACATACCATACCAGAGCAGAACATGATATACCATAATACGGCATACCACATCATAACATAACAAAGCCGAGCATAACATACCACGTTTTGACATAGCATATTATATCATACCATGACACAGCATCACATAACATATCATAGCACGACAGTATAACATAGCGACGACGAACACGATACAACGAAACATGGTACAACAGGACATGGCATACTAGAACACGAGCATGACAGAACATGACAGAACCGAACATAGAAATGTCATGACAAAATAAAACATAACATAACATCACAAAACACATCAGAGCAGAACATGACATAACATAATACTGCATAACACAATATACCAGAGCACAACCGAGTATAACACATCACACACTGACAGAACATATCAGATCATGGCACAGCATCACAGAACATTTCATAACACGACAGCAGAACATAACAACACATCAGCATACCAAATCATCATGTAATATGCAGAGCCGGGCCGTCGACAAATAAAACATCGCAGGACATACCAGAGCAGAACATGAAAGAACAGAAGACGAAACAACACAACATAACAGAATAGAACCGAGCAGAACATAACACACCCTGTCCGAACAGATCATGGAACGCCCAAAGACATACTAATACTATATGTCCTCCTTGGAGCCGCGCGTCCGATCCGAACATGTAGTATACCCATCTTGTAGTAGATCGTTTCCCGAGCGGTGTGGCCAGAAAGCGCCCGCCACGAAGCATGTACTATAAGATTTCTCGGTGCACGCGTCGCCCCTGTGGGGGGCGACGAACATATAGTATAAGTATGTTGGTGTGACGCCGATATCAGATCAGATCATGACAGCATCACAGAACATGTCATAACACGACAGCAGAGCAGAGTGAAACATGCTAGAAAAGCAGATCATACTATACTATACTGAGCCGAGCTGTCAACAGCATCACGGAGCATATCATACTATAACATAACCTGGCATGGAATATCATGTCATACCATCGTGCCGCTGAGCAGGTCGCACCATAACATCTCAAATCATATGGTGGCAGAGATGAACATACCTAAGCTACCATCGTGAGAAGCTACGCATCTAACGTCACAGGCGTCACGACGTCACGCCGGCCCGTCGAGCACAGAACAGGACATACGTAGTAGAGCATATCATGAAAAAACTTGACTACATTGAACACGGTTGAACCGTTTGGAATCCAGAAACGACAGTTGCACAGTGGTGGGAGGAGGAGGAGGAAAGTAGGGAGGAGAGGTCCGCCTCACCTCCCTCCTCTTCCTCCTCCTCCTCCGTCGTCCGCCTCCTACTCCTGCTCCTCCTGCTGATGCTCTTCTTCCTCTTTCAACAAGCTCTGGCTCTCTATCCGTTTCGCACCGCACGTTTTCGAAGCTTGTTTTTCGCCCCAAGGTGTCTTTCAGTTTCTTTCGTCAGGAGCTCTGAAGTTGGTGGATTTGGAGACAACAGAATTCGCCACCCGGCCCGACCGCCGCACTGGCCGAGACCACAGGGCCCCGCGCGCAGCGTTCCACCAATCAGGCGACCGCGCGCAGTCGGGAACTAACGCCCAAGGTTTCGGTGGGGATCGCTCGAAGCAGAATAATTGCCACCCTTTCATGGTTTCGGTTCCCGACGGGCCTCTGAAGACTCCAGAAGGACCAAAGATCGTCCAACAGGGCCCCAACGTGACACTGAAGGACCCAAAGAGTATCCCGTGATGATGGCCTTTAGAAAGTATGTTTCGGATTCCGACGGGCGCCCCGCCCTCAACCTTTGGTCCCCACGGAGCCACAGAGGCACCAGAAGTGCAAGCCCTAGAGCCCCGAAAGGGCCCCCCCTGGGTCCCACAGGGCCCGAAGAGGAGTCTTGCTTGAACTGATCCCTCCATTGGTTTCACTCGTGACTCTACTCTTGTTTTACTGATGCTCTTCCATTTGCCCAGTCGCGACTGGTCCCATGAGACTCGTTTCTGCATGAGCTGGTGGGCATGCACGAAGCGTCAGTAATTCCAACTGCCCTCTGGGTGTCGGTTGGTTGGCGGATTATCTCTTCCTACCCTTTGTGAGCGTTATCTTATTCTGCGTTTCGACATTGGGCGGAAGGGGGGGAAAAGGAGAGGGGGTCTGGCTCCGGGCATCGGCTTAGTGCGACTGTTTGTAACAACGTGTCCGATGGGGGAGGGACTCCACCTGCTCGAAACAGAGGCCAACAGGCGCCAACAAAAACACAAAAGATCTACTCCATGCAGGGGGGGGAGCGGGGGTGCGAGGGCCCGCGCCGATCGGCAAAAGGAATGAATAAAACAACGCTAATGTTCCTCTCTCTTTCTCTCAGTCGAAAGGATACCTTGGGTCAATTCGAGGCGCCGCGAAGACCTGGCCCGTGACGCCGTGACGCCCGGCCCCCTGGTATGTTCAGCAAGCGGGCCTTGAGGTATTCAGCAAACTGAAATACTAGAGCGGGGAAGTTCACTCAGTGTTTGCCCCTCTGTTTTCATTGGCCTCGCCTTGCCTCGCAACCTTGCATGTTCTTATCCTCCGTCTGCAACGTTGGATCGAACTTTTCGGCGCGTACCGAGTGCAGAATTAGTGGGCCCAGGGTCGTCTCTGATGATTCGCGCGCCTTGAGCGTGTTACAGGCAATGAACAAATCTCTTCCTCCCTACACCTCTCCGCAAGGCGTCAGAGCGTCCCAGATGACTCCAATCTTACCCTACACTGCCAAAATGCTTACAAGATCACACGAGATGATCCAGATTGGTTCAAGATGGCATCTAGCATATCTCCGATATGCTCCAAGACCGACACCCTGGGCGCCGACAGTTGAGCCGCTGTGTCCTATCGCCTCCAGTGGAGGCGCCATTCCAACAATTAGGACGCAAATAATATGTACGCAAGCGCCTTCGCACGGTGCTGCAATGTAGCACACGCTTGTGTTCGAAGCTGGGCACGCTCTCGCGCGAAGTCGTGGCAAGGAGATTTGACAGCCCCAGTGTCCATATGACTTCGAGATTGAAACGCAGTCTCACACTCCGCACCTGCCAATTCACGACAACGTCCGATCGTGTGAAGAGCAGCTCTCGTCGTCTTCCCCCTCCTTATCCTCCTCCTTGTCTCCTTCCTCCTCCCAGACCATCGACATCACTATTTCTTCGTGACGTGTGCCTCTGGAACTGTCGACCCCTTCCCCTGAACAGGGTGTTCATCCCAAGCCATGCTCTGTGATAGCCCCGTGGCCCGGAACAGGCCTCTCGAGGGCGACAACTCGAAACAACCGGCTGACCATACCGAATTTGCTCGCGACGCCGAAGTGTCCTCCTCCTTCTCCTCCTCCTCCTCCTCCTCCTTCTCCTTCCTCCTCCTCCTCCTCCTCCTCCTCCTCCTCCTCCTCCTCCTCCTCCTCCTCCTCCTCCTCCTCCCCCCTGTCCCTCTTCTCGGCGGCGCTCACAGGAGGGAGCGGCGCAAATCCTGACCAGCGGCATGTGCGCGCCTAAGGGTGGGGTCGGGGACGTACTGAAATAAGAGGCGCCGTGAAACCTGGGGAGACCTCATGGCCCCCGCCATGATATCCACCCCCCTAGTCGTCAACCCCCTCTTGGCCGCCCCCGACCGTTAGTCGACGGCCCTGGGGGCCCGGCTGGTGCAGGGTCCCCTGAGGCCGCACCCGGAGGCCCTCCACCGAGACTGCTCACCGAGGGCGCCCGCCGGTCTGCGCGCGCCGCCAGCCCGTCCTCCCCGTCGCGCGCAGGCACCGGCGACTCCGCAGGGTGTGGTCTGCAAGGGGTGTGGCTTGCGGCCCGCGCCGAATCGTCGATGCATCGGCGATGCGGCGCGATCCTCTGACCCCATCTACCTGGAGGAGGAGGAGGAGGAGGAGGAGGAGGAGGAGGAGGAGGAGGAGGAGGAGGAGGAGGAGGAGCGGGAGGAGGAGGAGGAGGGGGAGGAGGAGGGGGAGGAGAAGGAGGACCCCAGTTGGGAGGCCTGGGGCAACCCAGAAGATGTCCCCCAGGAGGGATGGGGATCGGCGACTCCGAAAGGTGAAAGGTAAGGTCTGCAAGGGGTATGGCTTGCAACCCGCGCCTGTGGGCGGGCGAGGACATCGACACAGAGCTGCTCTTCCTGCTCCTCCTCCTCCTGCGTCTAAAACCCAGATAGCGGTGCAGTCCAAAACAGTGCCACGCACGCCTCTGGGAGGCGTCTGCCGCGCCCCGACGAGATTTCCTCAAACATCTGGCAGAACGTGGTGACCCGTAAGCCCAACGGTGCCGATCGCTCACCACACCCAGGCGTGACCGTACCCATTGTAGTCGCTGGAAGCAGGCTCGGCCCAGAGCCCGGCCTCCGGGAGATGCCCGGCGAGCTCACGCATGGCGAGCCGCTGCTGGTCCCTCTGCTCGGCAAGCTGGTCCAAGCGCCACGAGACCTGTCCGAGCGGCCACAGCCGGGGTAGCGGTGCTCCCAGTCCCCCATGGGCAATCAGGGGGAAACGGTTGGCGTTGGAAAGACAGCGTGCAACATCGATCTCCGAAACGCGCGCTATTTCTCTGAGGTGATCCCCCCTGCCAGGGCTTCTTCGGTGCTCGCTATCCCCAAGGTGGGGGATAGCGTGTGATAAGCGGGCCGGCTGCAGGCCCGCTGCAGCGCCACATCGCACGCCATCCTGCCAACACCAACCGAAGGGACACGGCTCCCCCAATTGCGGCTGGCCCTGGCCGGCCGGGGGAGGGAGAGAAGGGGCCAAAAGGACACAACTAAACCAACCGATGTTCAAAAACTCCCCAGAATTTGTACTGCTTCGTGGACTTCCCTCTTCCCCTTCAAGCCCCAGATTCCCCAGATTCTCCCCCAAAAAATTGTCTGGTGCTGGGAGGGAAGGGCAGAGGGAGAGAGGAAGCGCCCGCGTGCAAGCGCCGGCGGCCAGCCCGGAATCGGCTCTCATCCAGCACAACGGGGTCCGAGGCTCCGATGTTTGGGGGTCGAGGGCCGAGGGGGGGGAGAGAGGGGAGGGGGAGCATGCAGTCCTCCGGCGTCCCGAGAGCAGCAGAGATGGCAACGGGTGGTCCGCCTTTCTTTGAAGGGGCCCAAGGGGGCACGGATGAATCGGCACGGATTCCAGGACTCCCACGACTTGTTCCTGATAATTGGATGTTCTTATTTCTCGTCCATTCCTCATATTTTCACATACTTGCCTAAAATACATCAGCTATGTTTGTGTTTGTGCCTATTGTTCCCTCCTGAGTTTCGGAGGTCTGGGTCGCCGGAATGAGGCATCCGAACGGTCTTACACCGTCTGTGGGTGCGTGGCTCAAGTGAGGCTCACCAGTGCAGGTTGTGGCTGACTCCTCATGCCATTTCCGAAGACTGGATACTGTTGATCCCCCCATCGCCGGATGGCAGTGTGCTGCGACTTGACCATTGGAGTGGCCGCCCCAACTACTGCACCCTCCCTATGCTGTCAAGGAAGTCAGGAGCCTCAAAATACAAGGTTGGCCCCAGGACAACGACGACGGCCTGCGCCTGCCTACAATTCACAGAAAGGAATCGCGCTCTCGTTCGAGACTTCCTCGCATGTTTTGTTGGAATCGCGCTTTCGCTCTAGTTCTCATTGATATATGTATATATATATATATGGAAGAATCGAGCTCCCACCGCTAAGAAATCACGCTATAGCCCAATTCGTGCGAATCGCGGCCTCGTCAATCAGGACTTACACTTCCGCCTCCGCCCAAGACTCCCTTTCGTCGTACCTATGACTCGCGCTTTCGCCTGGGACGTCCCCACGATCTACCAAAAACTTGCGCATTCATGGCCCGTCCGCCTGGCCCGCCCATCAAAGTCCGCCCGCCCGACCCGCTCGCTAGGTCCGCCCGCCAGACCCGACCGTTAGTCCACCCACCCGACCCGCCCGTGAGGTCCGTCCGTTCGCTTGCTTGGAAGCCATCCCGCGCCATTGAGCCTCCCGCCCGCACGCACATCCCGCCCGTTATGGTGCGCCCGCCAGACCTGGACGGTTGGGTCCGCTCGCCGAATATACATCTTTGAACCAGTCGGGGTTTACCTAGTAGCGGGCTTAGCAAAGGTGCCCTCAAATGGATTACGTTCATGGGGCCTTTTCTGGGGCGTCTTGGGATCTTTTGGGGATCTCGGGGGAGTTCCTGGAAGCATGGTGGGGATCCCGGAGCCCTCTTGGAGCTTTCTTCGGGCCCACTTGAAGCCGTCTTGGCGCCCTTTTGGGGCTCTGTGGGGCCGTCTTGGGGCAATCTTGGACAGTGTTGGAGCCCTCTTCGGCCGTCTTGGAACTCTCTTGAGGGCCGTCTTGAGGCGGTCGGAAGTCTGAAAATGCTAGGAAGCCAAAACATTTTAAGCAACCACTGGAACATCCATTCGTGCTGCCCCTCGAGGCCTTATGAGGTAAGAGGTGTCCTCTTGGGGCATCTCAGGAGTCACGTGGGCCGTCTTGAGGGCATGTGGGAGCGTATGTTTTTCCCCAACCATCCTGTGGTGTTGGGTCCTCGTTTTAAAGAGACAGCGCCCCGCGTCCCACCTCCTGCCTCCTCCCCCATCCTCTCCTCCTCCTCCCCCCTCCCCCATCCTTGCCTTTGCTCTCCGCATGTCTCAGCTCACCCCCTCCTCCCATCATCATCATCATCATCATCATCATCATCATCATCATCATCATCATCATCATCATCATCATCATCATCATCATCATCATCATCATCATCATCATCATCATCATCATCATCATCATCATCATCATCATCATCATCATCATCATCATCATCATCAGCATCAATCATCATATCATCATCATCATCATCATCATAATCATCATCATCATCATCATCATCAGCATCATCATCATCATCATCATCATCATCATCATCATCATCATCATCAGCATCAGCATCAGCATCAGCATCATCATCATCATCGTCATCATCATCATTCATCAGGTCATCGCATCAGCTCAGCATCAGATCGCATCGTCATCATCACATCGCCATTGCTGATCGTTTCGTGGCCCCATAGGGAGCTCCACCGAAGGCCCCAGTGGGGGGGGGGGGCATGGTCCCGGGGGGGGGCGCATGCGTCCCCCACGCTCAGGGCAGCGCTTCGTGGCGCCATAGGGAGCTCCACCGAAGGCCCCAGTGGGGGGGGGGGGGGGGCGCATGCGGCTCCCACGCCCAGCACAGCGTTTTGTGGCCCCATAGGAGGTCCACCGAAGGCCCCAGGGGGGGGGGGGCGCATGCGTCCCCCACGCTCAGGGCAGCGCTTCGTGGCCCCATAGGGAGCTCCACCGAAGGCCCCAGTGGGGGGCCGCATGCGTCCCCAACGCCCAGCACAGCGTTTTGTGGCCCCCTAGGGAGCTCCTCCTCCTTCTCCTCCTCGTCAGCATCACTCGCATCATCCTGAGCATCCTCATCACACTCATCATTCTCAGTATCCTCATCAGTCTTACCATCCTCCTCATCATCATCAACAGTATCGTCAACAGCAGCAGCATCATCAGCATCATCAGCATCAGCATCAGCATCAGCATCATCAGACTCACCATAATCAGCATCGTCACCATCATCGTCAGCATCATAATCAGCATCATCATCACCATCATCGTCATCAGCGTCATCATCATCAACATCAGTATCAAAGTCGAAGCATCACCATCATCAGCATCAACATCATCATTTTAAGCGTCAGCATCAGCATCATCGTCATCATAATTACCATCACCATCGCGATCATCGTCAGCCACAGCATCATCTTTCTCATAGTCAGCACCATCAGCATCACCATCATCAACATCGTCATCATCATCAGCACCATCATCGGCAGCATCGGCATCATCAGCCTCAGCATCACCAGTATCCTCATCAGCATCATCAGCATGCTCAACACCATCATCATCATCATCATCATCATCATCATCATCATCATCATCATCATCACCATCACCATCACCATCACCATCATCATCATCATCATCATCATCATCATCATCATCATCATCATCATCATCATCATCATCATCTATGATCATCATGTTCATCATCATCATCATCATCAGCATCATCATCATCATCATCATCATCATCATCAGCATCAGCATCAGCATCAGCATCATCATCATGTTCATCATCATCATCACCATCATCACGATCGTCACCATGATGATCGCCATTCGCATCGTCATCATCCCCACAGCCAGCGCTATCAACATCAGAATCATCATCATCGTCATCATCAGCAGCAACATCCTCACAATGGTCGTCATCATTATCATCATCAGCAGCATCATCATGGGCAACAGCATCCTCATCATCATAATCAGAATCCGCATCAGATCAACATCGTTGCCGTCATCTTCACCATCATAACTTTATCACCAGTATCAGCGTTATTACCATCGTCAGCAGCATAATCTACGTCATAATCACCATCATCATCGTCACCATCAACATCACCATCATCATCACCATCATCATCATCACCATCATCATCAGCAGCATCACCATCATGGCCATCAACATCACCATCACTATCACCATCACCATCATCCTCATCTTCATCATCATCCTCATCCTCATCAGCACCACCGTCATCAACATCCTCGTCCCCCTCCTCCTCGTTACTCATCATCATCATCATCATCATCAACATCAACATCATCATCATCATCATCATCATCATCATCATCATCATCATCATCATCATCATCATCATCATCATCATCATCATCATCATCATCATCATCATCATCATCATCATCATCATCATCATCATCATCATCATCATCATCATCATCATCATCATCATCATCATCATCATCATCATCACCACCCTCATCATCCTCGTCGTCCCTCTCCTGCAGCAGATTGCCCGACCCCCGCCTCGCTCATGTTCCTGTCCACCCGTGCGTTCAGGCTCTCCAGAACTGGCGGCAGGCTGGAGTGGTTCCAGCCTCGGGCGCAACCCAATCCTCCCTCCTCGCTTTCTCCCTCCCCCAATCCATCCCAACTCGTTCTCTCCCTCCCCTCCTCCTCCTCCCTCACCATTCACCCCTCTTCTCTAACCCTCCCTTATCCCTTATCTCCCCCATCTCTCCCTCCCTACGTTCCCTCCCTCCACCTCCCTCTGTCCAGCTTCCCATTCCACTTCCAATCACCGCCCCACTCCCTCCCCAGCCTTCATTTCTCCCTGCCATCTCCCGCCTCCGACCTCCCGCTCCACCTCCATCCCCCCCCCAGGTAGCTCAGAGCGCGGCCACGGCCATATCCGCGGGCTCATGTCTGTCAGCCCCCAGCTGTGGGGCGGCGCCCGTCGAATCTCTGGGCGGCGCACGCCCGAACTCAGCACTCGGAGTCCGGAGCGGCCAGCGCCGCGCCGCCAGCACTCATGGCCTCGGACGGCTGTGCACGCTGACAAGGGCGCATCGCCCTCGCTGCGCGACCTCTGCGGCCTCGAGGCGGGGGGGGCAGGCGCGCCGCGTTGGCGGAGAGGACAGGCCCGGGCAGGCGCCGTGCGCCTGCGCCAGAAGCCCTGACGTGCCTGCCCGCCGCTGCGGTCGCAGAGCAGCGCTGGCGGCGAAGGGGCTCCACCCAGCCGGGCTCCCTGGTCGCCCAACTTGGCGCATCGCGCCCCGCGGTGCGCGGTCATCTTCGCGCCCTCGCGCCCGTCGCTCTGGCCCGGACCGCGAAGCGCGAAGCGCGATTATCCTCGCACCCCCAACGGGTGACCCAAGGTTCTGGCACTGCTCGTCCTCGTGCCGCTGCTGGTGGCGCAACCGCGGCCACCCAGCTGGACGGTGCGGTGTGCCGCAATATGACGCTGCTGTGGCTCGGCACCGTGTCCGTACTAACGGAGATCTTCGTGCAGCGGATGTTGGAGCAGACGCTGCAGCTGCCCATGGGAGTGCTCGTGCCGCTGCTCGTGGAATTCTCATGGCCTTGCCCCTGCTTGCGGTGCCCACGCTTATGGAGCGGCCGCCGCAGCTGCTGAGGGTGGTCTGTGTGGTGGCGCTGAGAGGAAACGATTGTCCTGCCGATGCTGAAGGTGTCCGTGCTGGTGGAGATCTCCGTGCCGCTGCTGCTGGAACAGACGCCGCCGCTGCTGCCGATGGGGGTCGTCGTGCCGCTGCTCACGGAGTCCATGGCCGTGCCCCTACAATC